GAAAAATAGACTTCCTTCATCTGCCAACACTCCCGGTGCTGGGAAAAGAATATAAAGTAACCCAGAGCTTACCTCAAGGACATCAGAATACAGCTGGTCAAGGATGGCCCTGATGACTGTGTCTGTGTACACATGCATTATCTTGACTAGCATCCTAAGTGCCTGTGAAGGATGGGATGGGGCAGACTGTACAGATCCTAGGGGTATCTGGATGGCCAGGCAGATGTGAGGGGTGAGAGCCTAGAACTGGTGGGGAACAGGCGGGGTCCTTTTTCCAGCCCCTTAGCCTCTTGAGTAAGAATACAAGTTTGTGGGTACACCTATGGGCACATACATGAACACTTGTACATATAAAATAAATACACTTGTACACTTATATGTCCACATGCATGATCTCATACTCATGCATCAATACATTTATAAACACACAGACCCCGCATGTCCTGGTACTAGGATGACAGGATGCACATCCCACTTGAGTCAGTGTTGACCTCTGTTTCCCCATTGCTCCCAGCCATCTGCCCTTCATACCTTCATCTGCTCAGTCTTGGGCTGTTGATACAGAAACTGTAGTAAGAACTCTTGGGCCATGTTGCTGCAGGGCCTCAGGAAACCCAAGGATAGGGCTGCTTCCAGGGCTATTTTATTTGATGACTTTTTTATCAGTATCTGCAGCACAGATACCAGCTTCTCTTCATCCTCAACTGGAGTCCTCTAAAAGGCAGACAGGAGGGGGAATAGTGGGTAGGGGGAGTGGTTCTATTTCTTCACTCAGACCTAGTGCTTTTTTTTTGCGGGGGGAGAGGTATTTCACTATAGGGCATGTGCACTCACCAGAAAGAGACAGAAAGCGAGAAATCGCTCCCTGGGGAGATGGCCATGCCGCAATCCCTTCTCCTCCATTCTCCTCTCGGGATCTTGGGCATGCACGCACACGCACCCAGTGTGAGTTTTAAGCCACCGGGTCCGGGCCTCGCACCGCAGTCGACTACATGGGAGTCCAGTGACATAGCCATTATGCCAACTGCTGGTCCCCAGACTTGGTGCTTTTAAGAGTGCAATTCATGGGACCAGCAGTTAGCATAATGGCTATGTCACTGGACTCCCATGTAGTCGACTGCGGTGCGAGTCCCGGACCCGGTGGCTTAAAACTCACACTGGGTGCGTGTGCGTGCATGCCCAAGATCCCGAGAGGAGAATGGAGGAGAAAGGATTGCGTCGTGGCCATTGCCCCTGGGGGATGATTTCTCGCTTTCTATCTCTCTGTTTCTCTTTGTCTGTCTGGCGAGCGCATGTGCCCTATAGCAAAAACCTCTCAAAAAAAAAAAAAAAAAAGTGCAATTCATTACTGCTTCAAACTATTCTCTTACCTCCCTAAAATGAATCTCATGCTATCAGATTATTTTACCCATCTTCCCTTATTTTCACATGCTCACTCCTAGGTCATATCTACTTGTCTCTCTGATTTTATCTCATGGATGTATCACAGTTACTTTCTTTAACATTTTGCTGTCTTAATTCCTGGCATTTAAAAAAATATATATGTAAATGATCCATACCTCTTCTCCAGTAATCTCCCTTCCACTCTACCTCAATCACTTATCCCACAGAAAGAACCGATCATTGCCCCCAAACTCCATAATCTCCATTTCATGGAGTCTTATTTCCTGTCATCCATTTTTCCAGTTTACCTCCTCTTACTAACAATTGTTTGACACCACAAAGGACTAACAATCCATTGAGCTTACCACCTTTTCATCACTTCCTACCTTCCCCCTTTACCCAGCTTAAATTCTATGATATAGCTATCATCACTTTCCTGTTTCACTCTCAGCTCCTTTACCCCATCTCTCTTCATTCTAGTTGCTTGAGGCTAAGTCCAGCTCTCCATTTGCTCTGTGCCTGCACTTCCTGGAGAATCAGTCACAATAACTGTTCTTGCTCTAAATGTATGAACATAAATGGCATATACACCTTTAAGGCTGCCTCCTAATTTATACCCTTTTCTCTGGAGCCTTTAATAATTCTTCCTCTTGGGACCAGCAGTTAGCGTAATGGCTATGTCGCTGGACTCCCACATAGTCGACCGCAGTTCAAGTCCTGGACCCGGTGGCTTAAACTCACACCGGGCGTGTGTGTGTGCGTGCCCAAGATCCCGAGAGGAGAATGGAGAAGGGATTGTGGCATGGCCATCCCCCCGGGGGGTGATTTCCCGCTTTCTGTCTCTATGTCTCTCTCTGTCTGGCGAACGCACGCGCCCTATAGCAAAAACCTCTCAAAAAAAAATTTTTTTTTCCTCTCAACTGATGACCTCGCTTCCCGTTTTACTGAAAAATAAAACCAACCAAAAAAAAAAAAGTTCATAGACCTGTTACTACTTCTGTATAACTTCCTACACCTGCACCCATATTCTCTTCCTTTCCACTTGTTATTGGTCTGTAGCCAACTATCTAAAACCAGTGTCTCCATTTGTGAATTAGATTTTGTTGCCTCTTGTATTCAAGGACATTGCTGCAGCAACTCTTACCATTCTCTTCAGAATCATCAGTTTTCTAACTACTGGGTCACTAACCCTCAGCATAAAAACATGCTGTTTTTCTTTGTTCCATATTCTGCCTGTGTTGCCAACTACTGTCCTTTCCGGTAAAACTTGGAAAGTTGTTCATAGTTGGGCTGTCTCTAACTTTTTGTTTTAATTTCTGGCATTTGTTTGTTACACTAGTGGGCATCATGCCACAATCAATTTTTTTTCTAATTTCCCATCCTGTCAGGATCCTGGGAACAAGTGTATGCCTGCCAGCATGTAAGTTCTTGGAGCCAGGAACTTTGATGTCAGCCATGTGGGTGGGATCCAGTTTCTTCTGCCTAGTATTTAACTGCTGCACTACAGGGCTGGCCCTCCTGTCTTTCTTAAACCTACTCCAGTGAGGCTTTCTCACCCACCATGCCACCAAAATAGCTCTGTTAAATGGTCAATGGTTGGGACCAGCAGTTGGCATAATGGCTATGTCACTGGTCTCTCATGTAGTTGACCTTGGTTTGAGTCCTGGACCTGGTGGCTTAAACTCATGCTGGATGTGTGTGCGTATGTGCCCAAGATCCCGAAAGGAAAATGGAGGAGAAGAGATTACTGTGTAGCCATCTCCCCTGGGGGGTGATTTCTCACTTTCTGTCTTTCTGTCTCTCTTTCTGGTGAGTCCACACGCCCTATAGCAAAAAACCCCCAAAAAGTAAATGGTCAATGGCTCATACATGGTTAAATTCACATATTAATTCTCAGTCCTTACATTACTGCCTATGGTTGATTTATCTCCTTTACTTGATATACATCTTTTTAATATTTTTTTTAATATTTTTTTTTATTTGACCAGAGACAGAAACGGAAAGGAAGAAAGTAAGCCACCTGGTCCAGGACTTGAATCATAGTTGACCATGTGAGAATCCAGTGCCTTTAACTACCATGCCACCTGCTGGCCCATATACTTCTATTTTTTATCTGGTTTCCAGAATACCACACTCTTGGTTTTCTTCCTGCCACATTGTCTATTTTTTGATATTTACTGGTTCCTCCTTTTCTCCCTGACCTCTTCTTTTTTTAAAATTATTTTTAAAACAAAGACACATACACACACACACACACACACACACACACTAGCCTAGGTCTACACAGCGTAAGGATCATGACTATCACTATTTATGTATTTATTTATGTATTTATTTAAATTTGACCAGAGAGGGACAGAGTGAGTGAGAGACAGAATGAGAGAGAGAGGAAAGTAAGAAAAGTAATTCGCCAGGTCCAGGACTCAAACTACCATTGGCCATGTGAGAGTCCAGAGCCTTTAACCACCACACCATCTGCTGGCCCCTCTCCCTGACCTTGGGGCACCCAATGCTCAAATCTTGATATTAAGTGGTTGGGAAAGTTATTGATACATTTTTGCATAGAAAACCAGAAAAATATGTCACAACTTTCCCAATGACCTAATAGGTTAGTGACATTAAATATTGTCTACATTCATGCAACTTCTATTATTTTCTGCTATGATTCAGGCTCTCTCCTAGATTCTCAATTATATATTCAACTATGTATTACAGTAATGCATCACATTAGGATAATTTGGTCAATGACAGACTGTATATATGACCATGGTCCCATAAGATTATAATGGAATTGAATAATTTGTATCACCTAGTGATGTAGCTCACATGACATGGTGCAACAAATGACTTGTTTGTGGTGGCTTTGGTATAAACAGACCTGTAGCACTGCTAGTTACATAAAAGGACTGCACTCACAATTATGTTCAGTACATAGTACTTGATCATGATAATTATCAACTCTGTTACTGGGTTACTTGTTATGTATTTACTATTTATTTATTAGTTTTTGCTATAGGGTGTGTGGGCTTGCCCAAGAGAGACAGAAAGAGAGGAAGTGAGAAAGGATCCCTCAGCTTTCACAGTCCCTTCTCCAGTCTCCTCTCGGAATTTTGGGCACATATACACATGTGTACACACGTTTTTCAAACGGCCAGGTCTGAGACTCGAACAATGCAGGAGGCCACATGGGATCCAGCTGCCTTACCCTCCACACCACCTACTGATCCCATTTTTTTGGAGAGGTTTTTGCTGTAGGGTGCATGCACTCACCAGGTAGACAGAGACAGAGAGACAGAAAACGAGAAATCACCCCCCAGGAAGGATGGCCACGCCGCAATCCCTTCTCCTCCATTCTCCTCTCAGGATCTTGGGCAAGCACGCACACGCGCCAGGTGTGAATTTTAAGCCACCGGGTTCAGGATGCGAGCTGCGGTCAACTACATGGGAGTCCAGTGACATAGCCATTACGCTAACTGCTGGTCCCCTGACCCCTTTTTATTGTCATTTTAAAGTGTACTCCTTTTATTTATTAAAAAAAGTTTACTGTAAAACAATATGCCATGCTATTTCAGTAGAAGCCCTATATGTCTCATGTGTACCCTGTCTTTTGATTGCATTTTATCTTGTGCATGGTTTAATCTTGTGTTTTGCTTAACATGGCCGTTTCCAGTTAGACAATATGTGGAGGTGGAAGACAGTGATAGTGATGATCCTTACCCTGTGTAGACCTAGGCTAATGTATGTGTATGTGTCTTTGTTTTAAACAAAAAATGTTTTTAAAAAGAATTAGGAAAAATGTTTATAGAATAAGGATATAAAGAAAGAAAATGTCTTTGTATATGATATACAATATGTTTGTGTTGTAAGCTGTGTTACTACAAAAAAATTTAAAAAGCTAAAAATATTAAAAAGCTTATAAAGTAAAAAGTTACAGTAAACTAAGGTTCATTTATTGTTGAAGAAAGAAAAAAATTTATATGACTTAGTATAGCCTAAATGTACAGTGTTTATAAAGTATATAGTAGTGTTCACTTATTTCCTAGGCCTTAACATTCACGCAGTGCTTGCTCACTGACTCACCCAAAACCTCAAGTTCTGTAAGCTGTATGTATGGTGATATTCCTATATAGGTGAATGAGCTATACAAGAGTATCTTTTTTTTTATATATACCTTATTTTTATTGCACCTTTTCTTTGTTTGGATTATTACTATTGTGTTACAGTTGCTTACAGTGTTCACTATAGTAGCACATTGTACAGATTTGTGGCCTAAGAGTAATACCCTATAGCCTAGGTGTGTGGTAGGTTATAGCATCTAGGCTATGTAAATGTGCTCTATGATGTTTGTACAATGAAGTCACCTAATTATACACTTCTCAGAATGTGTGCTCACCTTTTTTTAAAAAAATAATTATTTATCTTGGGAACCAGCAATTAGCGTAATGGCTATGTCGCTGGACTTCCACGTAGTCAACCGCGGTTCACGTCCTGGACCCGGTGGCTTAAAACTCACACCGGGCGCGTGTGCGTGCATGCCCAAGATCCCGAGAGGAGAATGGAGGAGAAGGGGTTGCGGCGTGACCATCCCCCCGGGGGGTGATTTCTCGCTTTCTGTCTCTATGTCTCTGTCTGTCTGGCGAGCGCACGTGCCCTAGAGTGCAAACCTCTCCAAAAAAAAAAAAAAAAATTTATCTTTATTTATTTTAATTTGACCAGAGAGGGACAGAGAGAGAGGGAGAGTAGGGGGTGGGAAGTGAGAAAGCAAGCTGCCAGGTCCAGGACTTGAACTGTGGCCAGCCACGTGGGAGTCCAGTACCTTTAACCACCATGCCACCTGCCAGCCTCATATGCCCATCTTTAAGTGATGTACAACTGGACTTGCCATCTCTTTGGGGGTTCCAACAGACATTTCAAACATAACTTGCCCCAGAGTTGAACTTCTGATGTTACCTCCATATCTGTTCCACCTTTCTCACTTAGCTACTGACAGTGCCATTCTTTCAGTTGTTCAGTTGTTATGCCAAAAACCTTGGTGTCATTCAATAAGTCCGTTTTGCTTTTAAAATAGATTGAGAATGTAATCACATCTTACCAACTCCACTATGACATGACCATCATGGTCCAAGCCACTGTTGTATCTTAACAGGATTGTTGCAGTAGCCCCTAATTGGTCTCCCTGCTTCCATTCTTGGTCTTCTGTCCCCAGTTTTTTTCCACACAGAAGTGAGAGTAAACATCGGAAATCTAAGTTAGCTACTGCTCTGCTCAGAAATCTAATGACTTTCTATTATACTCAGAGTAAGAAGCCCATGATAATAGCCCAAAGGCCACATACTTAATCTTCAGTTAGCTCCTTGACCTAACCTATGTTTCTTACTGCTCTCTCTATTCCCACCGCACTTCAGACACACTGGCTTTTTTGCTATTCCTTGACCATGCCACCTTTGCACTGACTGGTCCTTCGCCTGGAATGCCTTCTCTTATATCTATCTGTAAAGCTAATTCCTCTTGCCTTCTTTATGCCTTTGTTCAAATGTACCTTCTAAATAAGGCCCTCTCTATCATGTTTGAAATCACAACTCATCCCCATCACTGCCTGACACTTCCATCAGTCTCATCCTGTTACATAATTTTTCCCATTGCACTTGTCACCTATTGCATACTATATAATTTTCTAGTAAAATGTATTGCTTATTATGCATCTTTTCCCCCGTTCTAGACTGTAAACTACACAAGGGCAGAGATCTTTGCTTTTGGTTCATTGATGTGTCCCAAGGGCTTAGGACTGTGTCACATAATAGCTGTTTAATATATATAAATATATATATGTTGAATAAATAGATGAATGATGAATTCTCTTTCACATGGAGCAGTGATAGGGTCAGAGTAAGAGGACCCTAAAGGAAGGAAAAAGTGTGAACAGTGTCAGGATTCTCTTGGTCCTCATCTTCTCTGGAAAGAGATTGTCGTTTAATAGATTGTTTTAGAGATGATAATAATGATTGCCATTTAAAAAGCTTAGACATTGTACTAAGTACTTTACATAATCTTATTTAATCCTTTCAATAATGATATAAGACAGTCGTTTCTCCATTTTACATTTAAAAGTAATTGCCAGGAAGTACATGACTTGCCAGAATGAGAGACAGAGAGAGAGAACACCATGGTCAGCCCTGTGGGATCTGGCTCCCTTGACTGCTGAGGAGTGAGACTAGCCCCATCCTCCATTTTAGAGATGAATGAACTGCAGCTCTGAAAGCTGACTTCAGAGGTTGATTAATAAGGGGCCATGCCATATGCTTCTACTCAACTCCAGAGGAACTCCACAAGGACAGTGTCTTCCTTTGTCAAAGCTGAGAGGTAGGTGACCTTCCTGATCCAAACCCCAGCTGATTGAACGCCCCTCAGTTACTTTGTCCTATTTTGCCCTATTTTCGAACTGTCCTAATCACCTTGTCTTCGGAGACAGCAGCCCAGGAGTTCAGAGCGACTCGTAGCCCTGTCAGAGTCTCCATTTTCCGGCCCTCATTTTGCCCCTTCAACTGTGAGATGAGAGCCTGGATCACATGCTTATTCAGACAACCTGGACAGGAAAGGTACTCAGGTCAGGGCACAGACGCACAGACTGCTGCTCTCTTTAAGGACCTATTGAAATCCACTGTGCCATCAAGATAGAAATTCCAAGTACTAGGTGCCAAGGTGTTGCTCATCCCTCCCAGAGTATCAGAGGAACTGGGGGAGTATAAACACAATTCCAGGAGTGCCCTCCCCCCCGCCCCCCGCCTTTGCTCCAATCTCTCCTTTTTCTCCCCACTGCCTCTCTACCCAACAATGCCTAGGGTATTCCCAGCCCCTTCCAACTTGTAGGTTGGAATGGGTGTATTCTTCCCTCCCTTCTTTGTTACCCAGTGGAGTAAGTGGCCACAATTTCCCATCCCCTTTAGCTCCCGAACCAGCGAGAGGACATACTCACCCAGGATGGCTAGGGATCGATAGGCTTCATACTTCACTTTCTCTGAACCAGTTTGGGCCTAATTTAAGAGGAATATAGTAAAAATAGATGATGGAATGTCAGAGCTCTAAAAATTTCCTCAGCTTAATTTTTTTTTTAAAAGAATTACTTTATCTAACTTTATTTATTTTAATTTGGCCAGAGAGGGACAGAACAAGAGAGAGAGAGAGGGAAAGTGAGAAACTAAGCCACCAGGTCCAGGACTTGAACTGCGGTCAGACATGTGGGAGTCCAGAGCCTCAACCACCACACCACCTGCTGATCCCCTCAGTTTAACTTTTCTTTTTACGGAAGTGGAAACTGAGGTCCAGGGGGATAACCTGTCTATGCTCAAACACAGAATCCAGGCAGAATGATGCAATGGAAGGGACACTGGACTAGGGAGTTAGACTTTTGTTGAAATACCTATTTGGTAGTATACTCCTTGGCTTTGGGCAAGCCACTTGGCCTCTTCATTAAACAAACAGAGATACCTAGTGTTCTTGTAAAATTTAAGTGGTACTGTACATAAGAATCCATGTTCCCCAATGGTAAAGTGACATGTAAGGATAGGTGGTGTTTTAGCTAAGAGAATGTTCTCAATCCCAGTTCTTTCCTTTTTTTTTTTTTTTTTAGCCCACCATCTTTTTTGTTAGACCATCAAGAAGATCTTCAGAATTCCCCTTCCCCATTTTTCAGATCCAGCTGCTCTTCTAAGAGGCCACGGACATGAGATGGGCATACCACACATTGCTGGCTCTCTCTTCAAAGGATTTGAGCTGTCATCCTGGCATGCTGAGGAGCCTTGTCTGTTATCTATGTGTTTACACTGTTGACACCTCAGACCTTTTTCCCCCTTTCCTGAACTCCATGCAGCTGCTAGACTTACCACTCGTCTCAGTGCCTCCATGACGAACTTGTCACCGACACCCAGACACCCCAGAGCCTGCAGAGAGGGAGTAGAGGAAAAGGATGAGTCCTCTGACACCATCACCAGGAGTTGTCATCCTCTGGACACAACTGGAGTTTGTATTTGGAGCACTCCCCCACCCCCACTATCTGCCTCAAGCAGCTGGCTACTTTCCAGCTCAGCCAACCTTCCTCAACCCTTGCTGCTTCTCACTTGTGCTGCATAGGACTGCTCTTCCTCTCTGGAAGACTGCAGGCTTTTTGTGAGTTCCTGCCATCCAAGGCAGCCAGTGGAAAGGAAGAGAAAGAAAAATAGTTATAGACCTTTGGAATACATACCTTTTAGTTATATTTTATTTATTCATTCATTTATTTTAATTTGGCCAGAGAAAAACACACAGAAGGAAAGTGAGAAAGCAAACCACCAGGTCCAGAACTTGAACCAGGGTTGGTCATGTAGGAATGTCCAGCGCCTTAACCACCACGCCACCTGCTGGCCCCCAACATTCAAAATATAATAAAAGACGCTCACCCAGTTCAATCCCCTTTCTTCTCCTGCTTTGCAGGCAGGGACTTAGGACTGAATGGTGGAGTAAGACCAGGGAAATGGTACCTACAGGGACAGAACCTCCTTGCCCCATCGTACTCCTGACCTTTAATCTTTGCTGCTTCAAGGCTTCGCTAGTAGGCTCTAAGGTCCTGGATCCCACCTGAGATCTTATAGTCAACTTGCTCATGGGGAGATAGATCATTTGGCCATGGGTGCCCTCTTTGAGGTACCTGTGTGAGAAATTGCACAGGTAGCCTTGGTCCCTTTGCTCTTTACCTCATTAGACCCCAACCCCAATTGTGTCGTGTGGCCTCAGCCCAGGACAGAGATGGGACCAAAGGAAGACATGTGGGCTCAGTGACAACCCCCTGAGCCACCATCAACCTGAGGGTCCTCTCTGGCCACCTTGCCCCACTCCTTGGCCCACTTCTTCCTTGCCCTTCTCTTTCCTAGAAGATGTGGAGGGTATGGAGAATATGGAGATGAGCAAAATGCACCTAGGGTGATCTCTCTTTTTCTGTGACATCTTCTGGGCATCCCGTTCTTCTTGGTGACCATACAGAGTGTGCCAGTGCGAGTAGATCTCAGACTTATTGAAGTAGCAGTAAGGGACTGCATTTGGCTTGCTTGGATGTAGCCTCCAGTACTCTGGGCTTGGAGGAAACTCTTCCTTTGGCATCTGGGGGAGTATGAGTGGCAGAGCAGTCAGAGGGGTCTCCTAGGCCTTTACTTGAATGCAGGGGCTGAGGCAGAGGAGTGGGTGAAGGGAGAAAATGGCAGGTGAGAGAGATGCCTGTCAGCCACTCATCTGGGCTGGATCACATGGTTACTACCTAACCCACTGCGGGACATTGGCAAGTTACTTCATCCTACTAGTGTCTCAGTCTTCTCATCTGTAAAACAGAGCTAACAATCCTTGGTGTGTTCCCCTCCCTAGATTGCAAAGGTCAGAAATTCCAGATTTGTGAAGCCATTGTGACCTGTAAATTGACCCAAGTACAGATTGGTTGGTTCAAGATTTCAAAGCATTTGAAAAGGTCATTTGGGCAGGGACATGAAAAGGCAAGTGGTGGGATGTTGTGGAGTAAAGAAGGAGAAAAGGAAAGTGACTACTCTCAGATATTTATTGAGGACTTACTATAATATGTGCCAGGTATTGTGCTAGGTGCTAGGATGCAGTTATCATCCCTACCCTCAGGGAGCTTCACATTTAGTTGGGGAAATAGACTTTCTTCAAATCTATTTCTTAAACAACTGTGGGACTGCAGCTCTGACTGCAGTAGAGGGTTTTAAGTGGGTCAGGGGCAGTCTTTGAGGATTTGGATGGAATGGGATTCATTCCTGTCTCTTAAGCCTTTGTATCTTTTTTTTTTTTTTTTAAAGAATTATTTGGGGATCAACAATTGGCGTAAGGCTATGTTGCTGGACTCCCATGTAGTCGACTGCGGTTCGAGTCCCAGACCCGGCGGCTTAAACTCACACCAGGTGCATGTGCGTGTGTGCCCAAGATCTCGACAGGAGAATGAAGGAGAAGGGATTGCAGTGTGGCCATCCCCCCTGGGGGATGATTTTTTGCTTTCTGTCTCTCTGTCTGTCTCTGTCTTTCTGGCAAGTGCACGCACCCTGTAGCAAAAAAACCTCTTCAAAAAAAAAAAAAGAATTATTTGATATCAGCAGATGGCATAATGGATATGTTGCTGGACTCCTGTGACTATGGTTTGAGTCTTGGACCAGGTGGCTTAAAGCTCATTCCGGGCATATGTGTGTGCATACCCAAAATCCTGAGGAGAATGGAGGAGAAGGGATTGTGGTGTGGCCACCCTCCCCTCTGGGGTGGTGGTGGTAGTGATTTCCTGCTTTCTGTCTGTCTCTGTCTCTGGCGAGTGCATGCACCCTATACCTAAATCTCTCTCTGTTAAATAAATAAATAAATAAATAAATAAATGGACCAGCAGGTGGCGTAATGGTTATGTCACTGGGCTCACACATAGTAGACCATGGTTTGAGTCTTGGACCTGGCAACTTAAAACTCATGCTGGGTCCATGTGCATGGGTGCTCAAAATCTCAAGAGGAAAATGGAGGAGAAGGGATTGTAGCGTGGCCATCCTTTCTTGCTTTTCATCTCTCTGTCTGTCTCTGTCTCTCTGGTAAGTGCACGTGTCTTATGGCAAAAATCTCTCTTAGAAAAAGATTTACTTAATTTTATTATTATTATTATCATTATTATTTATTAGCTATAGAGGACATGCACTCACCAGAAAGAGACACAGAGAGAAACTGAGAAAGCATGCCATCAGGTTCAGGACTCACTGTTTTATCTGGGAGTCCAGCTCCTTAACCACTATACTACCTGCTGGCCTCTCCAGCTTTCCTGTTAAAACAGATTTCTTTGGGCAATAGAGAAAAGGGGCATCTGCCAGTGGTTCCCAACCTAGTGACGAAGAATACCATATTAAGAGTTCTGAAGTGATTGTCATGATTTCAGGAAATAGAGCATTAACACAGGGAGGGGCCAGTAGCTGACATGGTGGTTAAGACACTGGTCTCTCATATGGCTGACTACAGTTCAAGTCCTGGACCTGGCAGCTTGCTTTCTCACTTTGTGTCTCTCTCTGGTGAGCGCAAATGCCTTATGGCAAATTTAAAAAAAGAAAAATAATTCTTTTAAAATTTTATTTATTTATTATTATTTTTAAGTTTGACCAGAGAGAGAAAGAGGGAGAGAGAAGGAAAGAGAATGCAAACCTCCAGGTCCAGAACTTGAACTGTGTTTGGCCATGTGGGAATCCAACGTCTTAACCACCAACCCTAAAATTACATAATTCTTTAAAAAAAACAACACGGGGCCAAGCCCCAGACCCGGTGGCTTAAACTCACGCCAGGCACATGTGCGTAAATGCCCAAGATCCTGAGAGGAGAATGGAGGAGAAGGATTGTGGCGTGGCCATCCTCCGTGGGAGGTGTTTCTCACTTTCTGTCTCTCTTTGTCTTTCTGGTGAGTGCACGCACCCTATAGCAAAAACCTCTTCAAAAAAACCCCAAAAAACAAAGAAAACTCACAGTGAGTAGGTGGCTAAATCTAGCAAAAAACAAGCCAAAAAAAAAAAAATTCAACTAAACAAACATAAATAAGATAAAGTTAAATAAGATAAATTGATTTCAAATAGTAAACAAAATATTTGGGACATGGTTATACTAAAAAATCATTTGTTGGGACCAGCAGTTAGTGTAATGGCTATGTCACTGAACTTCCATGTAGTTGACCGCGGTTCGAGTCCTGGACCCGGTTGCTTAAACTCACACCGGGTTCGTGTGCGTGCGTGCCCAAGATCCTGAGAGGAGAATGGAGGAGAAGGGATTGCAGCGTGGCCATCCTCCCCGGGGGGTGATTTCTCACTTTCTGTCTCTCTGTCTCTCTCTTTCTCTCTGGCAAGCACACGTGACCTGTAGCAAAAACCTCTCAAAAAAAAAAAAATCATTTGTTGTTTATCTGAAATTAAAACATGACTAGGCATCCATTTTTCCCCCCTTTTTTGCTAAAAGGCATGTGTGCTTGCCAGAGAGAGACAGTGAGAAGAGAAAGTACCTCCCTTGGGTGATGTTTATGCTGCAATCCTTTTCTTCCATCTCTTTGCTTCCTTTAGGATTTTGAGTATGCATGCACATATGCCTGGTGTATTTCTCAAGCCACTGGGTCTAGGACTTGAACCTTATGGTTGGACATGTGTGGCTGTGTGACTGGGCATCCTGTATTTTATCTGGCATTTTAACTGTGAGGCTTAACCACTATGCCATCTGCTGGTCCTGTATTTCTTTTTAAATTTGGAGAGAAGGTATGTGCACTTGCCAGAGAGAAACAGAGAGGGAGAGGGAGAAAGCTTTCCACCAATGGGGTGTGGCCACTCTGTATTCCTCTCTCCTCCACTTCTCCATCCTTTGGAATTTGGCCATGCACATTTTCAAGTTGCCAACTGGGATTCAAACTGCAGTGGTCCATGTGGGAATCCAGCTTCTTTAACTACCAGGACTCAGACCTGCCCACTCCTTCTATGACACAGCTCTCAAGGTTGGAAAACTTAGGGGTCTTACCAGGTAGCATGACAAGGGCAGGTGAACAGGAGCCGTGGCTTTTCTGAGTTCTGGGAAGAAAGATAAAGAATATGTGTGTGGCTGTTCGTATGTCTTCCTTAGAGAGAATTTTGTTCAGCTAATTTTCCCATCTTTTAATTGGGTTCATAATTTTTTTTTCGCATAAGGCACCTGAGTTCCCTGTGTATTCTGGTTATCAGGCCCTTGCCTGAGGCATATTTAACAAAAATATTTTCCCATTCTGAGGGTTGTTGGTTCATACTTGTTACTGTGTCCTTTGCTGTGCAGAAACTTCTTAGTCTGATATAGTCCCACTTGTCTATTTTAGGGACTATTGCCTGTGCTTTGGGAGTCTTATTTAAGACGTCTTTGCCTACTCCAATGTCTCCCAGAGTTTCCCCAACATTTTCCACCAGTAGTTTTATTGAGAAGTATTTCATGATAGGTAAAGTCTTTTTACAAACAAAATGAGAAATAGTGATTGACTGTTTAAAAAAATAATTAGAATAATAATAATGATGATTGGGAAGAACATTGAAAAAATATTGAATGATGAAGTGGGGATATTAATGTCTCTGTATTGACTGACATGCATGGCATTCCCTTCTGAAAAAGCAATGTAATACACTGTAAAGTTATATACAATCCAATGTAATATAAACAAGATTATGATGATAATGAAAAAAAGGAAAATGTGTGTGGTACAAATGAGACAGTCATTGCAAAGATAGGTTAAAGAATCAAGCAGGCATTTATTCACCCATTATTTAGTGCATACTAGTGCTAGGTATTTCACCAGGCACTTGGGAGGTAAGTAATGCATACTTACCTTCTCTGAAGGGGCCTATAGTCTTCCAGGACCTTCTAGTACCCTCAAATGTGGTGTGTGGAAAAACAGCAGTGTCATAGCTTGAAAGCTGCTTAGAAGTGCAGTCTGAGGTCTAACCTCAGATCTGTGGAACCAGGATCTTCATTTTAACAAGATCCCTAGGTGATTCCTCTGTACTTGAAGTTTGAGAAACACTTTTTTAGCAGGCTGTTCTCAACCTTGGCTGCATATTAGAATTATTCAGGGAAACCTGGAACATGCCTAGGCCCTACATCTGACTAATTGAATCAGATGTGGGCATGCAGCCTTAGCATTTTACAAAGCTCTCAAGATCCTAATGTGTAGCTAAGGGTGAAAAGTCATTGCTTTTTTTTTTCTTTTCAGTTTTTCAAACTTGAGTGTGTCTTTTAATCACCTGGAGAGATTATTAAAACAAATTTCTGGACTCATCCCCACAGTGTCTGACTCACTAGCTCTGGGGAGGAGTCTGAGATTTGCATTTCTCATAAGGTACTGATGTTGTTGGTCCTGGAACCACACAGAGAACCCCTAGTCTCGCTGTTACTTTGTGACTAACAGAGGGAAACAAATGTGAAGATTATATGGGCACAGGTGGCACAGGTGCAGGGCACTTTACCTTACTGAGGACGAAGGAAGATTTCTCAGAGGAGATTATACCTAAGTTGAATCTTCAATACAAGCAAGAGTTAGGCAGGTAGATGAGGGAGGGAAGAGTATTAGGCACAGAGAATACCTTATACAGAGACTTGGAGGTATGATAGTTGGGATGGAAAACAGGGCACAGGAGTGGGAGCAGAAGCTGGGGAGACATACATATGTCCCATCTTAGAGGGCCTTGTAGCTCTGCTGAGCTGGAGACTTATTTCGAGGCCTGTGGGGAACCATTAAAGCATCCAAAGGCCTGCCCTGACTTTGCCTGTGGATTTGCTGAACTCACCCAGAGCCTTGCCTGGGAGTGAGATCCAGGTAGCCTTTCTTTTTCAGACCCCCTGTCCCTAGCTTCATTCCTGTCCATTCCAGCCTCACCTTTGGTCCTTTCTGGATATTCCAGCCATGGGTAATTGAACATTGCCCTGGAGATGTCAAGAATATGACCTATTTTGTCAGAGGCCATCCTCTTCCTCCCCTGGTAGATCCTGGGGGAATTTGGACAGTTGCGGGTACAGAGCTGCTGGGAGATTGAGGGTAGAGGTTTCTCATTTTCTGTCGTCCAAGCAGGACTCATGAAGTGTCTGGGCATCTTGAGGTAGAGGATTCCTAGTGCTGAGCAACCAGATCGTTTTGGTAAATAGAACACTCAAGTTCCATTCTTGAGCCCAGCTCTGGCATGGAGCTAGTCAATTTACCTTTCTGAGCTTCATTTTTCTTATCTGAAAAGTGAGAAAGTCATGCCTGTCTGACTAATTAGAGGGATAAATTAAAAAAGAAAGTCAGTGTGTTTGGTGAACTGTCAGGTCAGGGGCAGGGATTTCTTTTAGGGTTAGTCATCAGGAAAATGCCAGCGGTGGGAAAGCCCCTTGTACATACACCTCTTCCCCACTCATTGGGGCCAAGAGACTGAGCTCTTACCTGTGTGCTAAGGAACTGCCCCTCCTAATTTGTACTTCTGCATATACTCTTTTCTCTGTCCTTTTTCCTTTTTTCCCCACCTGTTAAACTGTTACTCTTTCAAACTCTACTCAAATGTTACCTCATTTCTGAAATCTCTCTTCTCCCCAGGCTCCTTGCCTCCCCCAACTGAGTGATGTACCCCTTCCTGACCCACAGTATGATCTTGATTTTTTTATAGTTCCTTTTTTTGGAAGTTTTTGTTATACGTGAATCATCACTGGACTGTGAAGTGCCTAAAGGTAAAGAGTGTGGGTTGAGGTTTATTCACCTCTCTATTTATCTATCCCCACCCCCACCGCATCCCCAGTGTCTTGCATAGTGTCTAGCATGCAGTGACAGCTGACTATAGCAAGAAAACATGGGCCAGTAACTCATCAGACTTAACATGACCTGGAAACTAACATCAAACACTCTGATGTGATGTACACTATCACCCATGTGGGTGATGTTTAACCTGAATCTAATTATGAAGAAATAATCAAGCAAATTCAAATTAAGAAATATTCTACAAAAATCTGATCTGAATTTATAAAAATATCAATTCCCAGGACAGAAAGTGACGCAGCAGTAAAGTGCGACACTCTGTGAGGCAATCTTACATGGGAAAGTTGCTGGTTCAAGTCTGGAGACTTTCTGAGTATGCTGGGCATGCATGTGGCCATGATTCAGGGTTGGCTGACTGCTGGGTGTAGATTCTGTTGGGGGTTCTGTGTGTCTCTTGTCCTCTCTCTCATTGATGGAAGAAATAAATTTAAAATAAAATGTTCTTGAAGACAAAACCCCAAAAATATGTTAAAGGACACTAAAAAGATGTGATAGCTAAATTCAATGTGTGTACTTAAATGGATTCTAGTTTTTAAAAAAAATAGCTATAAAGAACATTATGGGGGTGGGACAGCAGATGGCGTAGCGGTTATGTCACTGGACTCCCACATGGACGACAATGGTTGCTTGAAAATCATGCTGGGCATGTATGTGTGTGCACCCAGGATCCCGGAAGGAGAATGGAGGGGAAGGAATTACGGTGTAGCCATCCTCCCTGTGGGGTGATTTCTCACTTTCTCTCTCACTGTCTCTGTCTCTCTCTTCAGCGAGCACATGCACCCTAAGGCAAAAGCCTCTTAAAAAATTATTGGGACAATTGGGGAAATTTGATTATGGACTGTATATTAAAAAAATAATATTATAACATTGTTAAATTTCCTGAGTGTGCTACTCATTTTGTGATTATGTAGAATATCCTTGTTATTAGGACACACATATTGCTACTTGCTCTCAGATGGTTCAGGGAAAAAAATGTATATACCGACCACACACACACACACCCACCTTCACCCCATTCATATACAAATAAAGCAAATGTGATAAAATGTTAATATCTGAATCTAGATGGTGAGTGGTGTGTTCTTGCAAATTTCTATCAAAGGTTGGGGGAGAAAAAGCATGGGCTTGGCATTGGCCTGGGTGAGTTTAAATATTTTTTTGAAAGAAATATTTATTTAATTTTATTTATTTATTTTAATTTGACCAGAGAGAGAGAGGGAAAGTGAGAAAGCAAGCCACCAGGTCTGGGACTTGAACCTTGGTTGGCCATTTGGGAGTGTTCAGTGCCTTAACCACCACACCACCTACTGGTCCCTAGGTGAGTTTAAATCTTAACTGTAAACCCTCCTCCTTTGCCTCCCCCCCCCCACACACACACACACCTTCTTTCTTTTGGCTGTACGACTTGGGGCAAACCCTTTTCCTCTCTTTCTAAAAATTTTCCTGACTAAATAGGGCTTGTAATAGTACCTACCCCATAGAGTTATAAGGATGAAAAAGAACAACGAATGTAAGGGGCTGAACTGATGCCTGGCACTCAATGTTAACTATAGTATAACTGTATATATATCGTCAATATGTGTTCATGTGAAGGGCGCATAGATGGGAATTTGGAGTACTCTTTAAAGCATTATCACCGTGAAGATGCTAATGTGGTTGTGGAAAACCAAAAAATAGTTCACTGTCTTAATTTGAAAGACCTGAGGTGTTTGGGATTGCCATAAAATCCAGTCCTGGGGCAAGGATGATAGTAAATAAACCCACTGCAGATGAAGTGTAGGGTAAACAAGTGAAAGGACCAAAGAAGGTCCGAGAAACAGGGAGGTGCTGTGGTAGGGAGTGAGGTAAACTCTTGGGGAATTGGGGATGGGGACGTAATGACTGACCTCCCACCCCCAAAGTGGGTTATCTAGTTATTTTACCTGCACCTCTTGCTTGTACGCCTTTCTTGGAGAGCTTTTGCTTCCAGCCCCTGCTCATTGGGTAGGGCCATGGCCCCTAAATCTAGGGTAGACACCTGATGGGTGCAGGTGTGCTTACTGCTTATGGGTAAGGAGGGTTTCAAGGAGAAAATCATATCAAGAGCCAGCTTTGTAGTTGCATTGAGCATTTTAATGGAAAGCTTATTTCTCATGTTTGCACATCATCCCTTCTGAGGGACCAAGATGGTATCTTTGACCAGGTGATATTTCCATAGGAGCCCAGTCTTTCTCTCTTATTTGCTTTTACAAGTATGTTGATTTCCTTCCTGGCCACAAAGCCATGACCAAGTGGAGGCGAATGAAGGTTAGATCCTAGAGACATCCTATGGACAAGGCGGAGCCTCTACCAGAGACAGAGTAGCTCTTCTAGGCTTTAGATGGGGGAGGGTTTTATCACTGCCACTGTGTAGTACAATTGATTCCCTTCAGGGAGCAGGAGAGGACAGGAGATTGGGGAAAGCCTCTCACACTGATTAGACCAGAGCAAGCAGCAACTGGAGAGTATGCACAAGTTCGGGTTCATGGTGCCCTCCATTCTAGCTCATCTCCAAAGAGTTGATGTATTCCCGAACCCATTTCTTCTCCGGGTTGGCACACACCTGGCGGTTCTTTCGGGTGATAAACCTGTGGCAGAGAAGAGGATGAGAACTTGTCAGTACCAGACAGTCAGATTTGAGGACAAGGAGATTGAGGCATAAAGAGAAATTATTATGGTGCTAGGATAGAACATTTGTGGAGCTCCATGGTATTTTATTTTTGGCTTTTAAGGAGAGGATATTTATTCTTCTGTTTATTTTGTTTGATTGGCTCCAAGCCAAAGCAAATTTGTGTGCATTTTAACCCCCTTGGAGACACATGCAGCCTGTAGATCTAAAGGGATATAGAGCCTCTGGAGCCCTTGTGATTGAGTGGGCCAACAACTAGCCTTTTCACATTATCTCCTCTGTTCCAGGTTTATGGGTGCTCAAGATGTAGAAAGAAATGGTGTCCCCCAGGAATTGAGTCATAGCTGAGTTAGTAGGATATCTAGACCTGCTTAAGAACATAATGATTTGACTGTAGAAAACAGTGCCTGGCACAGAGTAGACACTCAGCAAATGAATGCATGAATACATGAATGGATCTATGCATGGGTGGGTGGAGTAACAGGGCATGAGCTTGAGTCCTGGTTTTATCACTTATTAGTTGGATTGCTGTGGGAAAATTATTTAGGACTTCTGTATCTATTTGCTAACTTCTGAAATGAGTACTGAAATAATTCCTACTTTGCACAATTGTTATGAAACTCAAATGAGATAATATATGAGAAAGAGTTTGGAAAAATACCATATATGTGTTGCTATTAGAATGCTGTGGGATCTCTGGTATAGGGTGAAGCAGAGCAACATGAGTCAGAGGTCCTGGTACTGAAAACCATGGCTCAGAGATTGAAGGCCTGCAGCACTGCCACTGCCAAAGCACTTCTACTAACTTGCCACTGAGAATGTGGAGGTCTTGAAAGTGGAGGCCTTATCTCTACAGGTGGTGATGATGTAAGCTGCAAGTATAAAAGTTGGGGGTCATGAAAATCAATCCAACTGCCTGACTCACTTGTCTGCTGAGAGACTGTCCCTACCTGGGGGAGACCTTGGGCCTGGATAGCAATGCTGGCAACTAACATGTTATTTGTGGATCAGCCCTGCCTTTTTAGCTCTTTCTCATTTTGGTTTCTCTTTAAGAATGTTTTTAAGAATATGTATATTATTATTATTATTTTAAATTTGAACACTGATTTTACATATATTTTAATACCAGGGCCAGCCTGTAGCCTGATGGTTACACAAGCTGGATCCCACATGACTGTCTACATAACTTGAGGCCTGCACCTGGTGGCTTGAAAAGATGCTGGACGTGCATGCATGTGTGCCCAAAATTCTGAAAGGAGGAGATATGAAGAAGGGATTGTAGTGTGATCATTCCCCATAGGGAGTTCTTGTTCACTTTCTCCCTCCCTCTGTCCCTCTTTGGCAAGTACGCTGCTCTCTGGTAAATTGAAAAAAAAAAAAAAAATCATAGGGGGCCAGCAGGTGGCGTGGTGGTTGGAGCACTGGACTCCCCCATGGCTGACTATGGTTTCGGTCCAGACCCGGTGACTTGCTTTCTCACTATCATTTCCCCCACACCCCCATCTCTCTCTGGTCAAATTGAAGAATAATAATAAAAATAAATAAATAATTAAAACAAAAAAAAATCCACAAAAATTAGAACACCAGATTAAATATTTCAGAGTTTCTCTTAGGAAGATAATTATTTATTGTATAGTTGTCTAGACATTTACTTTATTTTTTTTTCAAGTATTTTCTGTGGGGGGGGAGAGAGAAAAATAGAAATCACCTCCAGAGGACATGGCCATGCTGTAATTCCTTCCCTTCTATTATTTTTTTTTTTTTTTTGAGGGGTTTTTGCTATAGTGCGCGTGATTAGTGGCTTTAGAGTATGCACTTTGTGTGTGTTTTTTAAAAAAGAATGATTTATTTAATTTTATTAATTCATTCATTCACTTTAACTTGAACAGAGAGAGACACAGAGAGAGGGTAAGTGAGAAAGCAAGCCACTGGGTCCGGGACTCGAACCACGGTCGACTATGTGGGAGTCCAGCGACATAGCCATTACGCTAACTGCTGGTCCCCCCTTCCCTTCTATTCTCCTCTCAGGATTTTGGGTACACACATACATATGCCCAGTATGTTTTTCAAGCTGCCAGGTCTGGAACTTGCAGTCAGTCACGTGGGATTCACCATACCCTCAGCTGGTCCTACTTTTTATATTTTAAAAATTTAAATATTTTATTGATTTTTAATAACAATTTGTTGTAAGCATATAGAAATACTACTGATTTTTGTGTGTTGACATTATATCCTACAACTTTACTGAATCTGTTCATTTGTTTTAAGTTTTTTTGTTGGAGTTTTAATTTTTTTCTTTTATTGTCAGAGAGCACATGTCCATTCATCAGAGAGAGATAGTGATAGACAGAGATCACCCCCTAGTCAGGCATGAGAGAAAAACCACCCCGTAGTGGGACCTGGCCATACTGTAACCTTTCTTTCTCTACTTCTTCATCCCATTAGGATTTGGGGCATGCACAAACAAGCACCTGGTGTATTTTTCTAGCTACTGGGGCAGGAATTTGAGCTGCAGTAGGCCATGCAGGATCTGGCTCTCCATGCACTGCACTTAACCACTATGCTACAGAACCAGTCCCAGAAGTTTAATTTGTAAATTTTATTAAACCACACAGTGTACCACATTATTATATGACATAATAAAGGGATTATATAGTCCAAACAACATGAAATTTCTAATTCAGCTCTTATTTTTGCCATCACTATCATATTTAAAAATATATAAAGTATTCACTATGTTGAAGTATTATGCTCAGATATATTCATTTAGGTATCTTATCACTCATTCTCTGATTTAACAAATTCATCTTTTCTATATGCTTATATTAATGTGTCTGTCACTCAACTTGTGCAGTTCTTTTGATTCTGTGCCTAATAGTGTTAAAAAAAGTTTTTTTTTTTTTGTTGGTTTTAATTAAAGATTTTTGCTATAGGGTGCATGTACTCACTGGAGAGACAAAAAGTGAGAAATCACCCCCTAGCAATGCCATAATCTCTTCTCCTCCATTCTCCTTTTGGGACTTTGGGCACGCATGCACTTGTGCCCAGTGTAAGTTTTAAGCTGCTGGGTCAGGGATTTGAACCACAGTTGACTATGTGGGAGTCTAGTGATGTAACCATTACATCGTCTGCTGGTCCCCCCAAAATGTTTTTTTTTTTGAAGAATCATTTATTTTTTATTTAACTTTATTCATTGATTTATTTTGATCAGAGAAGGATAGAGCAGGAGCTATAGAGAGAGAGAGGGAAAGTGAAAAAGCAAGCCGCCAGGATAAGGACTCAAATCAACCACATCAGCCATGTGGGAGTCCTGCGCACTTAACCACCAAGCCATCTGCCAGCCCCTCCAAAAAATGTTTTTAAGTTATGGCAAAATACACGAAATTTATCATCTTAACCTTTTTTTTAAAAAAGAGATTTTTGCTACAGGGTGTGTACACTTGCCAGAGAGACAGAGAGACAGAAAACAAGAAATCAACTCCCCAGGGAGGATGGCTATGCCACAGTCTTTTCTCCTCCATTCTCTTGTGATTTTGGGTACATGGGTCTGGCATGAATTTCAAGCCACTGAGTCTGGGACTTGAGCCACAGTTAGCCATGTGGGAGTCCAGTGACATAACCATTACGCCATTTGCTGGTGTCCATCTTAACCATTTTAAAATGGATCCTGTACATGCCCATATACATTCAAAGTGAAGACTTAGGTTGTCTGATGAGAATGAAAATTTCTTGGTTGATCTTATATCTCTGTCCTGAGAAATCTCTGCTCTCAGGACAGCACTTCCCCCTTTCTGAGCCTTACTCACTTGACCATCTTCCTCACACCCTGATATGCAAAAATGAGAAAAAGAGCAGAAGGGGTATTGTGGGCACTCTCCCACACATCTCCAAGTGTTTGATTGCTTATTTGAGATGGTGTGGGAGCTTCAGACACCAGGAAGCTCTTGTTCAGCCAGGAGTCTTACAGGAAATCCTGCCAGACTCTCTATCCTCTTTTATCAGCATTCTTGGCTTGTGGCCTGAAAGTCAGAAGGACAGGAAACCAACACCTGGGGTGAGGTTTGCTCAGGCGTCCATTTCTTCCTCCTCTCTGCAGCATGCAGTACCAAAGAACAGCCCTCCTTTTAGCCAGGTCTTCCTCCCTGCCACCATTTTTGTGATACCCGCCTCCCTACTTTCCTGACTCCTTCCTTCTACCTACCCCTTAAAAGCAAATGTCCTCAAAGTTGCTGCCTTTTTTCTTTTCTCTGTGTTTTTACCCAAGTCTCTGGCCTTGTGCCTTGAATGCAATTGGAGCTCAATGGGTGGTTATTGAATAAGTAAATAAATCAATTACATTCATTCCCTTAAGTTTCATCTATCACTTCTTCATATATAACAATATATTTAGACGATGATGATGAGTTAACACATATTTTGCATGTACTGTGTGCTAGAGAGTATTGTAATTATTTTATCATGTTCATTGTGACCCAGTGAAGAAAATATTTGTTTCTTTTATTTATTTTCTTTTATTTAACTTTATTTATCCATTTATTTATTTATTTATTTATTT